AAGGTTAATCAGGGTAACTAAAAGGGAGGTGTAAGGGGTAGTGGTAGCATAGTGCCTAAGGTTCAAACCCACCAGCCACTCCTCGGAAGGAAGATGGGGCAATCTACTTCCGTAGTGATACTGCCTAGGAAACCCAAGGAGGGGTCGCTAGGAGTCGGGTCTGACTTGATGTGGCACATAACAACAACAAAGGGGTAGGTGAACTTTGTTTCCTTGCATTTTTAGCCATTAACTCAGAGTGGAAAAGTGTACGTTGTTGTTAGGTGCTGTGAAGTTGATTTCAACTCATAGCCACCCCATGTATGATAGAAGAAAACGTTGCTTGGTCCTGTGCCATCCTCCCAATGTCTGCCATGTTTGAACCCTTTGTTGGATCCACTGTGTCAATCCAGCTCATTGAGGGTTTTCCTATAAAGATTATAGTCAAAAAACCCAATGGGGCAATTCTACTCTGCCACGTGGAGTTGCTATAAGCTGAATTGACATAACTGGCACCTAACAAGATCTTTATGGAAACAGATCCCCAGGGCTTGATCTGGCTGAGTGCTGGGTGTATTCAAACTGCCAACATTCTAGTTAGCAGCCAAGCACTTAACTATTGCACCACCTGTGAAGTGTGTATTTTTAAATTTCATTCTTAAGGAAGTAATCAGAAGTACCTAAAAGGCTTGTAAAACATACTTACATATTATTTAAATAGGTGAAAATTGGTGCAGTGGTTAAAGCACTTGGCTGCTAATTATAAGTTGGGCAGTTCAAACCCACCTGCTGCTCATGGGAGAAAGATGCGGCAGTTTGCTTCCATAAAGATTTACAGCCTTGGAAACCCTATGGGGAAGTTCTGTTCTGTCCTACAGGGTTGCTGTGAGTCATAATTGACTCAACAGCAATGGGCTTTTGGTTTTCATTGCCTAACATGTCCAAAACCTAGTCTTCCCCCAGTTGTCCCCTTTTCTGTGCTCCTTTCTTCATTTTCCTTATCTGTAAAGTGAAGGAAATAGTAATATTCAATCACATTATGAAAATTAAATGAATTAATATACATAAAGCTCTTAGAATTGTCTGGCACATAGTATGGACTAAGTATTTGCCGTGATTGTGATTATTTCACTGAGTTGCTCAAGCCAAGAACCTAGAGGTCATTCCTACTTTCTCCATCTCCTTTAACTCTCACATTCAATCCATCCAAGTTGTCAATTCTATCTTCAAATGCATCTTAAAAAATACACCCTCTACTCCATCTCATTAATTAAAGCACCATCACCTCTTGCTAGAAGTCTCCTCCAAACCATTCTCTATAGAGCCACATTTTTGTCTGTCTAGCTTTTTTTTTTTTTTTTTTTAAGTATAACATACACTCAAAAAAGTGCACACATCATAAAGGTAAAGCTTGATGAATTTTCAAAGTAAATATACCCACATAACCCTTACAAAAATCTGGTCATGACTCTGCTGTATAAATCCTTTAATGACTTCCCATCACTTGGACTAAAATCCACACTCCTTCCCATGACCTATGAGTCTCTGTGGTTTGGTCCCTGTCTACCTCTCTAACATCCCTTTATGCCTTTTAGGCACTCCTCCTTTCCCATTTTGCTAGATCTAAGTAGCCCTTGAACACACAACTTTTTCCCATCTTAGGGTCTCCCCAAAAATGCTCCTCCTGCCTATTCTTTTTCCCAACTCCTCACCTGGCTCATAATTCAGGTCTGTTTGTTACCTCCTCAGAAAGGCATTCTCAGATTACCCAATCTAAAATAGGTTCTGCCCTCTCAGTCTCCACAGCCAGCCCCCCAGCCTTAAGACTCAATTTGTAAACTATGTATTTACTGTTTTATCTACTTGCGTATTCTCTCTCTCCCTAGCTAGATTATAAATTCCATGAGGGCAAAAACCATGCCTATTTTTATTAGTACTTTATATACCTGCATACTCCCTGGCACACAGAAGGTTGTTGTTGTTGTTGTTACATGCTGTCGAGTTGGACCCAACTCATAGCGACCCCTCCTTGGGTTTCCGAGGCAGTATCACTACGGAAGTAGATTGCCCCATCTTCCTTCCAAGGAGTGG